GATGGATCCAAACCTATAGTGCTTAAACGGTTCAACATACAAAACCCAAAATTTCAGAATTTCAACTAAATATATTTGTACATATTTAAGCCCAAAAATTATTTTTTTTATAATTACAAAATTTGAAGCATGGCCGCCATATTGATTTTTTTAATAGCAAAATAGGTCGTGTTATATACCATTTGAAAGGGTTTAACACCCTAATTACAAAAAATGTATCACACATGGGGTCCAAACACAACAAAAAGGATATTATTAATAGGGAGCGTAGGAGGCTGTGCATTTGACACAAGACGTCAAATACATACATTTTGTAATTAGTGTGTTAAACCCTTTCAAATGGTATACCATATGACCTATGTTGCTGTTTAAAAAAATCAAGATGGCGGCCATGCTTCAAATTTTGTAATTATAAAAAAATAATTTTTGGGCTAAAATATGCGCAAATATATTTAGTTGAAATTATGAAATTTTGGGTTTTGTATGTTAAAACCGTTTAAGCACTATAGGTTTGGTTCCATCTTTAACAGCTACCCTGTATATAAAATTGTTTGTCCTGACTGACTGACTGACTGACCTATCAGCGTACAGCCAAAACTACTGAGCCTAGAAAGCTGAAATTTGGAACATTATAACGTAAGCATCCGCTAAGAAAGGATTTTTGGAAATTTGAACTTTAAAGGGGGAAATGGGAGGAAATGTGGGGAGAAAGCTTTTAATGAAACTATTTGTTTCTTTAAAGTTAGAAACATGAAAATTTAAATTACAGCTACTGAGCATAAATAAATAATGACGTGTTTCAGGGTTTTTGGATTTTTTACATTTTAAGGGGGGAAAACGGGGGGTAAAAATTTATTTGGGAGTATCCATGTTTTTGGTTCTCTTTAAAGTTAAAAACATGAAAATTGGAATTGCAGCTACTGAGTACAAATTAACAATAATGTGTTTTAGGGTTTTTATATTTTTACATCTTGAAAGGGGCAAACGGGGGCAAAAGTTTGTATGGGAGTATAACTTTTTTGTTCTCTTTGAAGTTAGAAACATGCAAATTGGAATTGCAGCTAATGAGTGCAAATTAATAATAACGTATGATTTTGGATTTTCACATTTTAAAGGGGGGAACGGGGGAAGTGAAAGTTTATTTAAAAATATCGATTTTTTTTAAAGGTGGGAACTTGAAAATTGGAATTGTAGGTTCTCATAATAAATAAATAATGAGGTGTTTCATGGTTTTTGGATTCACATTTTAAGGGGGGAAAACAGGGGTGAAAATTAATAAAAATTAATAAAAATTAATAAAAATTAATAAAAATTATTAAAAATTAATAAAAATTAATAAAAATTAATAAAAATTAATAAAAATTAATAAAAATTAATAAAAATTAATAAAAAATTAATAAAAATTAATAAAAATTAATAAAAATTAATAAAAATTAATAAAAAATTAATAAAAATTAATAAAAATTAATAAAAATTAATAAAAATTAATAAAAATTAATAAAAATTAATAAAAATTAATAAAAATTAATAAAAATTAATAAAAATTAATAAAAATTAATAAAAATTAATAAAAATTAATAAAAATTAATAAAAATTAATAAAAATTAATAAAAATTAATAAAAATTAATAAAAATTAATAAAAAATAATAAAAATTAATAAAAATTAATAAAAATTAATAAAAATTAATAAAAATTAATAAAAATTAATAAAAATTAATGAAAAGAAATACAAATGAATAAAAATGAATAAAAATGAATAAAAATGAATAAAAATGAATAAAAATGAATAAAAATGGAATAAAAATGAATAAAAATGAATAAAAATGAATAAAAATGAATAAAAATGAATAAAAATGAATAAAAATGAATAAAAATGAATAAAATGAATAAAAATGAATAAAAATGAATAAAAATGAATAAAAATGAATAAAAATGAATAAAAATGAATAAAAATGAATAAAAATGAATAAAAATGAATAAAAATGAATAAAAATGAATAAAAATGAATAAAAATGAATAAAAATGAATAAAAATGAATAAAATAAATAAAAATGAATAAAAATGAATAAAAATGAATAAAAATGAATAAAAATGAATAAAAACGAATAAAAACGAATAAAAACGAATAAAAACGAATAAAAATGAATTAAAATGAATAAAAATGAATAAAAATGAATAAAAATGAATAAAAATGAATAAAAATGAATAAAAATGAATAAAAATAAATAAAAATGAATAAAAATGAATAAAAATGAATAAAAAATGAATAAAAATGAATAAAAATGAATAAAAATGAATAAAAATGAATAAAAATAATAAAAATGAATAAAAATAATAAAAATTAATAAAAATTAATAAAAATTAATAAAAATGAATAAAAATGAATAAAAATGAATAAAAATGATTAAAAATGATTAAAAATGAATAAAAATGAATAAAAATGAATAAAAATTAATAAAAATTAATAAAAATTAATAAAAATTAATAAAAATGAATAAAAAGGAATACAAATGAATAAAAATTAAAAAAAATATGAATAAATATAAAAAAATGTAAAAAATGAAAAAAATGAATAAATATATAAAAATGTAAAAAATGTAAAAAATGAAAAAATGAATGAAAATCGATAAAACTAATAAAAATTAATAAAAAAGGAAGTCATGTATTTTTTATATTAATAACACGACAATATGCGAGCAAAGTCGCGAGCAAAGCCGCGGGCAATAGCTAGTAGTAATATAAAAACAGAGACAGATCTACTTTTTACATGAATGTTGTGCAATATCAATGTGGTACAACTAAAATAAACCAACTTTTTTCTTCATACATTGGAATTAACAATAAAAACATGTTTTCTCCTTTTATATACCAAATTATACAATTTATTTTTAGTTTAGCTATATATTACATGAGTAGGTATGTGTTTGTGCTGGGGTTAATAAGATAGGTACTGTTCATGTAAAAATCATCTCTGAAACTGCATTGTGACTGAATTCCTCTCCTCAACCTCAAAACTGGATGCCGCTGTAAATCTACGATTTAAATCTTTCAAAGTGTTGCATTAGATAAACTGATATTTTTTTGATTACTTCCTGCTGGGCCCATAAACTATTGGGATGTCGCTATCGCAGGAAAGTATTTAGGCCACAGTTTATTCCAAAGATTTAATGTAAAAATACCAGGTATTACTTTTGACAACACTTTTTTAATTTATTATCAAAAAGACATTACATCAAAATAAAAACCTAGTGAACAGTACATGAAAAACAATACAACTAAGACTTAATGATGACATTAATCTCTAACGAAACGAAGATAAAGGTTTAGAAGATATTTTTCTATTTTATAGAGGAAATTTACTCAAATGTATAAGAAATAATTAATTTAGGTATAAATTCTCAATTGGGCACTAATCGCACAGCTCCACTAATCAGTCTACGACACCCCAAATATAAATCAATAAACTATGTCATCCACATTTTCTAAAAACTAGTCTAAAAGTTTTCCCGTGTCTCTATCACAAACATGATAAATAACAAAAAGTGACAAGTGACAATTGACATAAAAATAAACGTCTGAATTCAGATTGTGATGTTTATGGTACTTTTCGAGGATTTATTTTATAGCAAATTAAATTATTGCGTTGTGTTAACATAATAGGTAGGTTAAATTGGTAAATACTAAATAGAAGTTTTGCGAGATTTTGATTTCCCTCAACAACTTCACTTGAACGTTGCATTTACATTATTTAGTAATGTTATAACGTTCCCTTTAAACAACATCGTCGAAAGACTTGGCAACGTTATGTGCTAGGTGGGTATTATGGACCATCGGATATAAAAGACCACACCACTGTTAGATGACCCTGTATAAGAAAAAATAAAATCCCATAGTATTTAATTAAATTTTTGCCACTCTATATTATTATTAGGTATTTTATTTAAATATTTTTATAGTTAAAACTCTAATATTGCTTTATAATTAATAGTTGAATTTTGAACGATTATGTTTTCTGTGATTTTAGTTGACCTATTTCCATTTGAATTTTGTACATTTTAGGTCACGAACAGATGAAAAATAGCAGCTCAAACAGGACAGATAAAATATATCCTTGAACGAGATATTAATTTCTTTTTTAAGACCATTGGTAATTAATTTTAAAATTTGGTTTAGGTCAGTAATTAAATTCAGACAATACACGACGTAAAACTCATAATAATATTAATAATAAAATATTTCGTTGTTATTTACTACGACTACGACTCTCATAAAAGATTAACGACTCAATCAATCGTATTTACCCGTAGTACAAACCGACCCACGTGACACCAGCAGGAATTTCAAAACGTCCACGCACTCTGACCGCAAAGCGAACACTCAATTCGCGAAATTCTGCTCTTCATCCTTTTTAATCTGTTTTAATAAATCATAGTCCTGCTCCCAAAACGATCGACACCACCCAAAAAAAGCTACTCTCAGGAATCAAGTGACTTACAACGGTCAAGCTACAATAAAGTTGACACATGCAAGTGAGTCTAGCAAGAGTAGCAAGCCATGGAAGCATGGAGTAGTCAGTTGCCATCCGAACGCCGCATTGGTAACAAATGAACGCGGGGCGCGCGCCAACTAGATAGAGACACGGGAAAACTTTTAGACTAGTTTTTAGAAAATGTGGATGACATAATTTATTGGTTTATATTTGGGGTGTTGTTGAGAGTGATCGTAGACTGATTAGTGGAGCTGTGCGATAGTGCCCAATTTAGAAAAAATGTGCGAATTAATGGTTTCAGACGGACAGACTTTTTCGAAAAAATCACCGAAAACAAAATATTTGTACTGCAGCGAGCGGTAAAGTACACAATAAAACAAAAATGTTAGAAGAAGACAAGGGGAATAAAATTTTAGATAGAAAATATAGTAATTCAAGATAATAGCAAATTTTTTCTAATTCATCTAATTCAAAAATAGTTACCGTCCAAAATCAGAATAGGCAAAAAAGATGGCTGTTTACAAAAACTATTACAACCGTAGGGCCCATTGGACAATAGCAGTGTCCTGCTTATATCTCCTTTGCAGCACTATTTCTTGTACCATAGTTAACGCGGAAAGGGTGAGGCACCCCCATATGAAACGCGGGGAACCAGGCTGGTCCCAATTGGAAAAATCTAGATTAGAAGATAGTTCAAAAAACTCGATCCTAAGTTGCCCGAATTGCCTTTTCGAAAACGAATTAGATAGGGAAAAAAAGGAAACTGACAAACTTAGATTAGAAGCAATAAAAAAGCAAATTTTACAAAAGTTGGGTTTGCGACAGAAACCAAATGTGACGCATAGTCTTCCGAAAGAGATTATTTTGGAAACATTATACAGAGCTGAGGATGAGGATAGTGATTTTTTACGGAATTTTGATAGAGATGAAAATTTTTCTACAACTAGCGCTAGGAATAATATCATGGAGACTGTTGATGTTGACGATTTTTATGGAAGGACTTCTGAAATTATTTCCTTTGCTGAAGAAGGTAAGTCAATTTATAATATTTATTATAATTTATTGTAATAGGTTTACTTAATATTATGATTAAATACGAAATTTTACCTAATGGTATAACTCGAAAAAATCTTAAAAAAAATATAATAAATTAGATTTAATGATTTTAAATGAAATATTAGTATTCTAGAAGGAATCGGCGCATGACTATTCGAACCTATTTTTTTGTCAGACTCCTTTAATACGTGCCAAGTATTATATAAAGGCCAAAGTGGTCACATTTTGTTTAAACGAAATTATTGTATAAACCATTTTTTAAAAAAGTTATCTTTTGATATATTTTACTTTAATACAAATAAAAAAGTTCCTATAATTTGTTTTTAAAGTTATTATTTTAAACTATATAAAATATCACGTTTCAGCTTAATTTAAAAGACTGGGATCTATTTTATATAAATTTTGTTAAAATTAACCCTCGGTTATAAAAGTAACCAGATGTTATTTTAAATAATGTATTTTGTATTATTTAGTTAAAATTATAACGTGTCAATAATAAATTTATTAATGATTAACTGACAAATATATTATTTTTATCATTTTTAAAGCTTCGTTGGTCTTGCTTTAAATTCACTTTTAAGATATCTTACATCGTTGCCATATCTATTTTAACTAGGATTGGTTTTAAGCCCAAAATTAAATTGACGGTGAATTGAATAGAGATTTGGGTTAAAATTTAAATGTCACAGTTATAAATAACCTTAAAGCGGTTTAAATTAACTAAAACCTTACAGAATAGACCCCAATAAATCAATGATTTGATATTAACCAATTTTTTTTTATTTTTTTATAATGTTGTCATGTTGTGATAAATATGAAAATGTTCTACTGCTTTTGAATTATTTATTAGGTGCATTCGCTAGTAGCGTGAATGCTGCGACTTACCTTAAAGTATTTTTTGAAGTTATAATACCTATGCCAGTTTATTATAGTATAACTTTTATATAGATTATTATAATATTTCAGTTAAATTGCGTTTTTTGTGATGAACATGTCGTTTTCGGTTATTCTAAGTAAAAGAAACCGTTCTGATAACACACCACCGGTATTGTTTATAATTACATGAACAATACACGAAATAAAGTAAATGTAATGTAGATTAGACGTGTATGAATGTGCTCTTAACTAAAGTAAAATTTTTAATGGATATACTGCGAGTACTAATATAATTTTTATACAGATACAGAAAATTAAGCCGATCAACGTATAATATAAATTACATAATATTGATGCCAAAGAAGGCAGCAGAGCACCTAGGGGATTTTAAGTTGAAACCTGTCATATTTTTAGGCTATTTGAAGGGTATTTTTATGCTCTATTTAAACATTTTATTCTCGTGTTTTACAAAAATTAAGCTGCTAACTTCGAACGAATTCAGGAGAGCTCCTCAGTTTTTTAAGTTTTTTACCAAGAACAACAATACCATACTTTTAGAATACTTTTATAAAAATTAGTATTTTTAAAAAATACATTAGCTTCGAACGAATCTAGCAGAGCAACTCAGTTTTATAAAGCTTTCTTCAAAAAACAAACACACCACATTTTTAGGTTATTTTTAGGCTCTTGAAATACTTTCCTAAAAAATTGTTATTTTTGGAACAAAGTCAGCAAAGTGCCTCGGTTTATTATCATTATTTTTTTTAATCAAATACTTATGCTACATTTTTAAGCTATTTTTAGTCTCTAAAAATACTACAACACTTTTAGAGAAAACAAATTATATTTTTTTTAAAATACAAGGTGGTTTGCTAGCTTCGAACGAATCCAGCAGATCGCCTTAGTTTTTTGCCACATGTTTAAACTAATTTTAGGCTCGTGAAATATTATAAAATTAAAAAAAAATAGTAAAATTGGTTTTATAATCTTTCAGAAGCCTGCGAGGGAGCCTGAAAGTAGCTTAAAAATTTGGCATAAATAGTTGTTTCAGAAAAAAATAATAAACTAAGGTGCTTTGCTGACTTCGTTCCAACAAAACACCCTGTAATATTAAAAAAAATAACAATTTTTTTAGAAAAGTTTCACAATTTTCAAAAGCCTAAACATAGAATAAAAACGCTTTTAAAACCTTTTGGTGCTTTACTGGATTGTTCGAAGCTAGCAAAACACCCTATATTTTTTAAAAAACTTTTTATTTCGAAAATTTCAAGAAAAAAATAATTAAACCGAGGCATTCTGCTGACTTTTTTTCCAACAAAGTATTATTTAAAAGTATCAATTTTTTAAAAAAGTTTTATAATAGTTATAAGAGTATAAAAATAGCCTAAAAATGTGGTGTGTTTGTTTCTATAAAAAAAGTTTAAAAATCGAGATGATCTACTGGATTCGTTCGAAGCTAGTAAAAATTCTATTTTTTTTAAAGTTTTATATTATTTCAAGATCCTTAAAATAGCTTTAAAATGTGGCATAAGTAGTTGATTTCAGAAAAAACCATTAATAAAACGAGGCACTCTGCTAACTTTTTTCAACAAAACACCCTGTATTATTTAAAAATAGCAATTTTTTAGTAAAAAATTATATCTCAAGAGCCTTAAAATGTCGTGTGGTTGTTTAAAAAAAAAAAAAACGCTTTAAAAAAACTAGGGTACCCTGCTGGATTGGTTTGAAGCTAGTAAGCTTCCTGTATATACCAATTTTTTTCAAAAAAAATTTTGTATTAAGAGCCTAAAAATGGCATAATGTGGTTTTTGATAAAAAAATTTAAAAAATTGAGGCGCTCTGCTGACTTTGTTCGAAATTAGAAGAGCACCTTCATTTTTGTCAAACATGAGAAAATGTTTGAATAGGGTATAAAAATAGCCCAAAAATATGACAGGTTTTAAGTCAAAATTCCGTAAGTGCTCTGATGCCTTCTTTGGTATATAAAATGATACTTAAATGAATCTATAAATATCAATTTCATCTGAAAATTGTTAGTATAATTCATTAAAGCCAGTGTAGTATCATTAATCGAATAAAAACTGGTAAGATTTCTTTATGCTTATTTTCTATTCAACGAAATTAATAAGAAATAATCTATCAAATGTTTTAAAAAATAACCGCTAATAACAATAGTTTGAATAGTCAAATTTTAAAGATGCTCTGCTTCATTCGTTCGAAGCTAGCAAAACACCCTCCCTGTATTTTTAAAAAACTATTTTTTTTTTTCGAAAATTTTTATAATATTTCAAGAGCCTAAAAATAGCTTTAACAATGGAATAAGGATTTGTTTCAGAAAAAAATTAATAAACCGAGGTACTCTGCTGAGTTTTTTCCAACTAAGCATCTTGTATTATTTAAAAGTAGCAATTTTTTTAAAAAAGTTTTATAATGGTTCGAGAGTATAAATAGTCTAAAAATGTGGTGTGTTTGTTTCTAGAAAAAAGTTGAAAAATCGAGATGCTCTACTGGATTCGTTCGAAACTAGCAAAAATTCTATTTTTTTTAAGATTTAAAATATTTTAATATCCTAAAAATTGCTTAAAAATGTGGCATAAGTAGCTGATTCAAAAAAAAAAAACATAATTAATAAACCGAGGTATTCTGCTAACTTTGTTCCAATAAAGCACCCTGTATTATTTAAAAGTAGCAATTTTTTAAAAAGTTTTATAATGGTTCGAGAGTATAAATAGCCTAAAAACGTGGTGTGTTTTTTCTAGAAAAAAGTTGAAAAATCCAGTAGAGATTCGTTCGAAGCTAGCAAAAATTCTATTTTTTTTTTAAGATTTAAAATATTTTAATATCCTAAAAATTGCTTAAAAATGTGGCATAAGTAGCTGATTTAAAAAAAATCATAATTAATAAACCGAGGTATTCTGCTCACTTTGTTCCAATAAAGCACCCTGTATTATTTAAAAATAGCAATTTTTCACGAGTCTAAAAAAAGCTTTAAAAAACTGAGGTGCCCTGCTGGATTCGTTGGAAGCTAGCAAGTACCCCATATTTTTTAAAAAATACTATTTTTTTTCGAAAAGTTTCTCATATGCCGCTACTGCCTACGTAAGTTGGCGGCATATGAAAAACTATTTTATTATTATTATTACAATAAAAAAGTTCTTTATAAAAAGGCAAGCATGGTCTAAAACCCAAAACACAATCATCGAATATCAAATTTTATCAGTCGTATACGAGATTTGTTAAAACTTAAGGTACTTTGCTCTTCAGCAAAAATCATATTTTTTGACACGGCTTGAAAAATTAATATCTTATGGTTGCATTTTGAATTTTGGACCATGCAGAACTTTTTATCACGAATAAATTTTTTCACAAAACCAATAATAGTGTAAAAGTTTTTCATATGGTTCCAACTTAAATAGACATACTGAATATATAAAGGGATAATACTATCATTAAATAATTTTTATTTATAATAGCCCTATATAGTTTTAGAGTTTTTTTCGGAAACAAATTGCCTTCGATGTGGAATTATCACACACTAATATCTATATAATTATTTTTTAAAGCATAATTATGTTCTTAAGAAACAGTTATATATTTATAACCAAAGAGTTTTAAAAGTGATGTAATTCAACAATATAAAATCACTACAGAGCATTTTATTTGTATTAGCTGAAATGTTGTATAAAATAGTTGCATAAATGTTTATGGAACAATTTTATAGTTACTGTGAAAACTTTTTTAAAATTTAGCTGTAAGAACATTGCAAAAATTAATTTACATGACAATTTAGTTTCAGATGAACAAAATAGTGATTTGTGCAATTTCAGTAAAACAAATTAGCATTTTAGAAACAACAATATAATATTAATAAAATGTACCAGTCTTGTAAACTACAAATTTTAAAGCTACTTTGCTAGTTGGATGTTTATTGATTTATTTCCGGTGGTATAAACAATAAACCTAAACCTGTTTTAATAGAATGTTTATCCAGTCGCATGAATAGTAAAATATTAAATCATTGAACGGGATATACATATCTCCAGAATAAACAGGGTGATTCATTAAGAGTGGCGACCGGCCGTTATCTCAGAATATCTTGAAGTAGAATTTTTTTCGAAAGAAACGCAAGAACAGGTCGATTTTTATTTCAATGGGACACCTTTCTATAATATCTTCAACTCTTATATGCCATTCCTTTCTCGTTTGTCAACCTAACAATTACAATTTAAATAGGGAAGTACCAAATATGATACATCGTCGAAAAGGTAATTTTATGGGGAATTCTTCGATATGACTGTCCATTGCGTTCCCTTTAATTTTAGCGCTTTCTAGCGGGATAAAAAAGTAGGTATGACCTATTGTAAAGTGTGACACTTTATTTGAAATCTTACTTTATTAGTAATACAATGCACCACATAACATTAACCTAGATATCTCCATATTGCACTTGCAACAAAATAAATTTAGTAATAATGCATTTTTTCCTTTTAAGTTTATTTTTGATTTAGTTAACATAATATTACGTAATACGTAATTTATTAAATTACCAATAAAATAAGCTTTCAATAAAGTATTACACTTTATCATAGGTAATAATCTTTTTATCCCTAATGAGGGCGCTAAAATTAAAAGGAACGCAAAACCAGTCATATTGTTGGATTCCCCATAAAATTACCTTTCCGACGATGTGTCATACTTGGTACTTTCCCTATTTAAATTGTTTGGTTAGATTGACGTAGGGGAGAGGAATGACATATGACAGTTGAGGATATTATAGAAAAGTGTCCCTCTTGAAATTAAATTCGACTCTTTTTGCGTTTCTTTCAAAAAAAAATTCTACTTCGAGATATTCTGAGATACCGCCGGTCGCCACACTTAATATCACCCTGTACAATAGAGGAGTACCGAAAAAAAAAAAGTATCTATCAAAATTTGGCGAGGCAAAATGGTCAGTCTGCGATTATAAAAGGCAATTTCCTAATTATTGGTGGTATCATATTCAGTATGTCCCCCTAAGTTTGAATAGTGTGGAAAACTTTTTTATTATTAATTTTCGGAAAAAAAGTTATTCT